AAACTGTCTATGTATGGAGTCGCCCTTCATCATGCAAAGGTACACTTGAAACACACACACACACACACATCAATCACACACACACATCAAACACACACTCACACACACACACACATCAATCTCACACACACACACACATCAATCACACACACACATCAAACACACACTCACACACACACACTCACACACACACTCAAACACACACTCAAACACACACTCACACACACACACTCACACACACACTCAAACACACACTCACACACACACACACACACACTCACACACACACATCAATCTCACACACACACACACACACACACACTCACACACACACACACTTACACATCAATCAATCACACACATACACACACACACACACACAACACACTGCATGAACGTTTCATTATGTGTCATAATGGAGCTCAGCTCATGGCATGATGATCATGATGAAGTCTAATCACAGAAAACACGTGTGTTTGGAGTCAAATACAGCCGTGTGCACGTGATGAGGCTTAAAGGAACAGTTCACCCACAAATGAACATGTTGAAAATATGATCACCCTCAGGCCATCCAAGATCAGGATGAGTTTGTTTCTTCATCAGGTTTGTAGAAATGCAGCACTGCTGAGACACTGATGCAGTGCTACATTTCTCCAAATCTGATGAAGAAACAAACTCATCTTGGATGTCCTGAGCATGAGCACATTTTCATCACATGTTCATTTGTGGGTGAACTATTCCTTTAATATATCTGACATAAGTCTATTTATTCTTTAAGTAATGTTTTGCATGTAAATGTGTGTCTGTATTCTCACACACACACACACACAGACCGACGGCCTTTCAAACCCTCTCACTGACGAGTGACTCGTTAATAATCAGTGTTCAGTGTTAATCGTTGTCATTGTTTCTGGTGTCAGTCGATCTGTCAGATGTTCAGCTCAGTCAGAATGAATCAGATTCTGCTTCGGGCCGGTCGTTCTGGGTCACAATCGACCGTCACAAACCAGATAGAGACAAACACACACATGACAGAGCGTTTGGGTGAGTTTTTATAGCAAAGATGTGACCAAATAGTCAAGATAGTTAGCGATGAAGTCTAAAAATGTAAGAATTCAAGTAACATTTCTGAATATTGGCAGAACGTGTCGCGTCAGTCTCTCTGCTGGTCGATTTCTTTGAAACCTTCAGTAGTTTAAAATCAACATATTTCAGTAAAACTTTAATTTTTTAACTTTTCAATGCATTAACTAATATTAATGTGTAGTAGATTTGTTACAGTGTTTATTAATCTTTGTTATTTAATAACAAAATGCAACTGTTCATTGTTAGTTTATGTTAGCTGAGGCTGGTTTAATTGGATTCGGTGAATGTGGCCGCAGTCGTGAAGCTCTTCTGCCGATATTCACACACAGATGATGTTTCATGTCATCTATCATCTCATGTAGTGGTTAAACAGAATAACAGCAGACACACAGCTGAAGCATGAACGTGTGCGTGACGTTCGGTTAGATCAGCCGCTCTTCTCTTCTTCCCCTCTTACTGATGATCTAGTTGATAGGACGATTCTTTCACTGCTTTTCTCCAGCTAAAGGAGAGGTAAGATGCATTCGTGTATATATATATATGTGTGTGTGTTCTCTATGTGTGTGTCTTTGTGCATGACCATGAACTGAAGTCATTGTCTAAGCAAAGACTGTTTGTTGAGAGAAACTCCTTCTGTTTCATGCTCATACATCTCAGTAGAAGCTCACAGGAGAGTCGAACCCGTTCACCATGAGCGCCTGTGGATCCAGCCCTGCCCATAGAAGAGAAAAATCACACTTTAAATGGCTAGCTCCCCCAAAATGGAGCATTCTGGCATCATTTGTGCACCCTCGTGTCGTTTATTTCTTCAGTGGAACACAAAAGAAGATATTTTGAAGAACGTTGGGAACCAAACAACTTTGGACCCCATTGACTTTCACTGTATGGACAAAAAAAGATATTCTGAGAAATGTCCATACCGTGAAAGCCAATGTGGTCTAAAGTTGTTTGGTTCCCAGTGTTCTTCAAGAATATCTGCTTTTTTGTGTTCCACAGAAGAAAAGAAAGCCAAACAGGTTTGGAACAAAATCAGGATAATATGTTAAATGATGAAAAACTGGTAGTTTTTGGCTGTGCTATTGCTTTACAATCTCAGCTATTTCTCAGAGACACCAACAAGATAAAATTCTCTTCTCCTGAGAAAAAGACCCCAGTAATCTCACACGTGTCTCCTCTAGGCTTTCAGAAAAGATCTCAATACTGTCTCAAACTGTGCTCAGATTTGCCAAGATAGCAATCAGAAGTCGGAGATTTCATTATTAACTCATCAAATTATCTGAGCTGCTCCACATACATTTTATAGTAGAACATCTACTGAGCCTTTGAGAATTTGTGTCTCATTTTAGGAGAAACATCTGAGACTTGAATAAGAGTCTCCTCATTGTTCGTGACCCAGTTTCCTATAGTAGACCTGCTCAAAATACCCACTAGAGATGTGAATTGTGCCATTTTCCCCACAATCCCCCTTGATTCTTGTGTGAAGTGATGTATTCAAATGCATTTTTGTAGCAAATTAGCTCCATGGATGGTTCTAGAAGTGCTGGAGTTCTGCTGAATGGAGCTCAAGTTCTCACGTCTGTTCAGCTGATGCTCTTCAGAAGTATTTCAGATCTGGCGCCGGTTCATTGGGTTTCAATAGCATTACACATGCGAGATTGTGAATGCAGTGATGAATAGAGATCGTGACTCAAAATACCTGCTTCACTTCCGCCTCTCAGAGGTTCAGATGAGAAGATGGATCCACAAACACATGACAACATCACAGTATCTCTCTCTGTTCCTCTCAGGCCAAAAGTGTTTGGCTTCCACTCATTCATTTAGAAACCACGCGTTTGTTTGTGCATGACTGTGTGATGATGATTGGCATCTCTCTAATCCAATGGTTGGACAGGATTCAGAGGGGGTGGAGATCATGTTGGGCGTGTGTTCCTCCGGGCTCCTCATCTACCGCGACAGACTTCGCATCAACCGCTTCGCCTGGCCCAAAGTCCTCAAGATCTCCTACAAACGCAATAACTTCTACGTCAAGATCCGTCCAGGCGAGGTGAGAACACCATCACGCCTTCTCCAGGTGACCTTCACAGTTTTGGTGAAGTTTGCTGACAAGAGAACCTTTGTTTGTCTCTAGTTTGAGCAGTTTGAAAGCACGATAGGCTTTAAACTACCCAACCACAGAGCGGCCAAGAGGCTGTGGAAGGTTTGTGTGGAGCATCACACGTTCTTCAGGTCTGTAGAGGTTCCTGTGCTTCTGTATGTTTGCTGTGTTCTGTGCTCAGTGGTAATCATGGTTTGCATCTCGACAGGTTGGTTTCTCCAGAGACTCCGCCTAAGAAGTTCCTCACACTGGGTTCTAAGTTCCGCTACAGCGGCAGAACTCAGGCTCAGACC